ACTGTCTGTGTTTAGAGCAGGAAACTGATCCCTGTGCTTAACCTAAATCCCTTTGGCGTAAGTGTGTACCGTCTGCCCTAGTGGAAACAAGATGAATCTTGAGGGTGAGTGGAGACTTGTTAACTTAAATTAGAATAATGGTAAGGACAGTAACAGCAATATTGTTGACAGTAATATTTCCTGACTGTCAACTACGGGCCAGCCAATGTTCATTATCTAATTTGATCTCATTTAATCCTTGAGACAACCCGACAAACAGGTCGAATTAGCTTCATTTTACAGAGGAGGAAGCCAAGGATCAGAGAAGGTAAATAATCTACTCAAGGTCACACAGCTGGCAAGTGGCAAAGCTAAGGTTTTGAATCTGAATCCATCCGATTCCAGAGTTCAAGGGTTTAAACCACTGCATTCCACTGCAGCAAATCTCATGTTAAACACACAGCTAGAGCCAAGAAGAAAGCTATTTAACTTCGTTAGCAATAAAAGAAACATATTTAAGATGATTACCTTTGGGGCCTATGAGTAAAACATTTTTTCCCAATATTATTTAATACTAGTGAACGTGTCATGAAACTATTATGTATCACTGGGATAAACTGGTCCAGTCTTCCTAAATCGAAAACCATTTAGCAGGAAGAGCCATCAAAATGTTCAATGCCTTTGATGCAATGATTCTTTTTTTTTTTTTTCAAAATTTATTTATTTGAGAGAGAGAGTGCACGCGCACTTGCGTGCACAACCAGAAGGGGCAGAGGGAGAGTCTCAAGCAGACTCCACGCTCAGCCTGGAGCCCGACGTGGGGCTCGATCCCGTGACTCTGAGATCATGATCTGAGGCAAAACCAAGAGTTGGACGCGTAGCCAACTGAGCCACCCAGGCGCTCCTGATAGAATAATTCTCGAATATGGGCAAATGTCAATGACGGGATTTCGAGAGTCTCGTGGGCACGTGTGTGTGTGTGTGTGTGTGTGTGTGTGTGTGGCTGGAAGCAACATAAACGTCCCACAATGGAAGATGCTTGATAAAATGATGGTGTCCCTTAGGACACTTAAAATACCACTGGGAAGGATGGCTTGGTTGCAAAGCAAAGAGGAAAAATGCCAACAAGCCGACATCGTGAAGGAAGCAAACTCCAGAAGCACATGGCTTGCTCGTCAAAAAATTAAACATAGGATTACCAACAACCCAGCAATTCCCCTTCTGGACATGTACCCAAAAGAATTCAAAGCAAGGACGTGAACAGATATTTGTACATCCGTGTTCATAGCAGCGTTATTCCTAGTAGGCAAAAGACAGAAGCAGCCCAAGTGTCCGTGGACCGATGAATGGATAAACAAACCGTGGCACCCAAAGGAACCTTTTGCAATCTTAAAAAGGAGGCACATTTGACACAGGCCACAACATGGATGAACCTTGAGGACATTACGCAAAGTGAAATAAGCCGGTCATACAAGGACAGACATTGTGCGCTTCCACTAATAAGGCACAGAGAGCAGTCAAATTTGGAGGGACAGAAAGTAGCATGGTGGTTGCTGGCCGGTGGCCGGGGGTGGGTGCGGCGGGAGGGAAGAATGGCTCCTTATTGCTTCATGGGGACAGCGTTTCAATTTTGCAAGATGAGAAAGTTCTGGAGTCATTGGTTGCAGGACAGTGTGAATGTACCAAATGCCACCAAACTGTACACGGTCAAGATGGCAAAGTTTTTCGTGTATATTTTACAATTGAGACACAAAAATATAAAAACTCACCTGCTTATGAGGTCCAACTGTATTAAAAGTGCACCCCCCCCAAAAAAAGGGAAAAGATAGTCCAGTTGGCAGTGGCTGCACTGGGGACAGTGGGATCATGACACTCACAGGCCACCCACGGTACCCCAGCTCCTTACAGGCATTGCCTGTTCCGCCATGGGGCTCTGTGCCTGGCCCTAGACATGTGACAACATACGAAATCTTACAGGCTGATGATATTACTATACCCATGTTCCCCCCGGGGGTTCTGAGGTTCAGGAGGGTTAAGTGATTTGCCACAGGTCACTCAGCAGATAAAACGAGGTTGAGATTAAAACCCAGTCTGGCTGACTCCAAAGATAATGCTTCTTCTTCCATGCAGAGATCCCTCCACCACCTCTGTGCCCCGTCCCACCCCACCATACTTAAGTGACTTTTCAAAATTTCAATAACAGGGCTATGACCTTGCTTCCCTGTTGATAAGAAAAGACTTCTCCCAGATTTCACAACCAAAGCAAAGAGTGGCAATGCACACACACACCCCTCTCCTGTCCTGGGGTGGGGGGGGAGGCTGGGGGAGGGGGAGAGGAGGCAGGAGAGTGGCCCTGCCCTCCAGAGAGCCCTGGAGCACTCCTTAATTGCACCCCCAGGTCCGGGGAGCTCCGGATCCCTCTCAGTACCACCAGCTCCATCCCACAGCAGACACAGCAGCAAAACCAAGCCCTGCCCCCACCTCTCCTGGTTGGGGGCGGGGGCTGCTCAACAGAGGAAACTCCAAAATGAGAAGTGCTGTGTGGCCCCAAACAGAGGGTGGGGGGAGCCCTGGCTGGGAGAGGCCCTGAGCAGCGAAGGAGCTGTTCTTGAAGGGAAGGGGAAAGGTCAGGAGGGAGACCAGACCGGAGGACTGCCTGGAGGCAGGGGCAATTCTCTGCAGGTGCAGAATTTAGCCTGCGGGCAACTTCTCCAAGCTTGGGACTTGTCTTTTCTACTCTTGGGACCCTGGGGAGGGGGACTGCCATTGGCAGAGCCCACTACTAAGGTGGCTACCAGTTCACAAAGCTGGGAAAGTGAAGCTGGAAATAGGAGAGGAAGGGTAGAGCCTGGGAAGCAGTAGCCCAGGGCCCAGACGCAGGGGACGGCTGGTTCCCTGCAAAGATACCTGTGTTCAACACCTTCCCGGGAGATACTGAAAGAAACGTGCTCCTGTCCACCTGCCGAGGGCTGAACAGTGGTCCCAAAAGGATGTGTCCATGTTTCAACCCTAGGAACCTGGGGATTATTTGGGAAAATCACTATCCAGAGAAAGGGTCGCTGCAGATGTAATTAAGTTAAGGATGGGCCCTAAATCCAATGACAAGTGTCCTTTAAGAGACAGCAGAAAGACACAGACACAGAGGAAAAGGCCAAGTGAAGAGGGAGCAGAGAGTGGGGTGGCGTGGCCACGAGTCAAGGGCAGCCCGGAGCCACCTCGAGCTGGGAGAGGCAAGAAGGAGTCTTCCCTAGGCCCCTGGAGGGAAGTAAGGCCTTGTTGACACCTTGACTCAGAACTTCTGAGCTCCAGAACCGCGAGAGAATACACGTCTGCTGCTTGAAGGCACAGAATTTGTGGTAATTTGTTACAGCGGTCCCAGGAAACACAGATAGCATCATTCCAGGACATAAATCTGACCCAGGCAGCTTGCTCCCTTTCTGTGGCTGCCCTCTCCCCACCTCCCCCCTCCCCACTCTCCTGGTATTTTCTCTAAGTGGAAAGCATTTTCCCCAAAGTGAGTGAAACAGAAGCGAACTGAAATACCACTTTCGAAATGCCACTCCCATTCCTCCATCACTCTCCCTCTCGGCCCAGAAAGTAGGCGGCCTTGAGAAGCACCCTTTTCTAGAAGTCCTGACCCCCCCCTTATCCAAGGGAGCCAGGTTATCACCTCTGGTGAAGGAGTGGGTGGGGGGTGGTTCTCACAGGCCAGGGCAGCTGGAACCTTCACTGCACCGGCCTCAGGCCCCGCGGACTGTGCGGGCCCCCAGGGAGGGGAGAGTGGGCCACCGTGTGGCTCTGCAAGGAAGGAGTGGGCAGGGAGGTTCCCGGGGTTTTAAATTTTTTTTTCCCATCTTGACACTGGCAGCATTTCTGATATGATTGCGGGGGATTTCCACCAACCGAATCAAAGAAAATTCGGTTTTAGCATTAGCGGCAAGGAGAGAGAGGAGGAGTTTTGCAAGCCTTGCCATTTATGAAACACTGGCCGTGGCACCGAGGAGAACGTCTTCCTCCCTTCCTGACAAGTCAGGCTCCTGCCGTCCTGCAGCTGGTGGTCGATGACTACATGCCTCCGCCATCAGACAGGGCAGCACCAACCCCCCCATCCTCCTGGAGCACTTCCCTCTGGACCTGCCAGCTTTGCTGGGAAACATGTTTGTCCCCTGGGGAGTGGCTGAAAGAGCTTTTCTAAGGTCCCATGGTAAAGAAACGTTTGGTGGGGCCCCACGCCCCATCACCAGACCCGCAGAAGCATCTGGCCTCTGGGAGGGAGGAGACTGCTCTCTAAACAAAAATCGTTTTGAAAAATAAGCCAGCCAAAGGGGAATTGCTTCATGAGTTGCACATTCACTTCTCCCTTTAACTGTGCAATTGAAGAAAAACAAGGTGAAGCAGGAACTGACCCCTCACACCCCCATTCACATGCCCACAATCTCCCTGGACACAGCAGTTCTGGGAGTACAAGCTAACCAGGCCTGAGGCTGGTCTCTAGTTATGTGCGGACCGCCTGCGTCTCATAAGCCCCCTACCCACCCACCCGAGGGCTGGGACCCTCCCCACCTGCCTGCCTCGTTCTTAGCAGAGCCCCTGTGAGGGAGATCTGAGTAAACATTTGTTAGACGTAGGAAAGCCAGAGAAAAGTCCTAGTGGAAGGGGACCATCTGGGGCACATGCCCTAGTTCCAGAAACATGTCTATTTGCTGAGTGGCCAGCACTGTTTCTAAACGTGGGCAGAGGAGGTGGGGGGCAGTGGGGCTCCGAAAGAGGTAAGCTTGGATGTCTTAGAACAGGCAAGGGCCAACTAGGTTTCAAGAGACCCGACCCCCCCCCGCCCCCCGCCCCATGACCCTCCCCCCCAGCGTCCTCCACCACTTGTAGGAGTTCATGAAAGCAGCACAAGAACCACCCTCAGCATGTGCTGGGCGGTGCTCTCATGAGGCACGATGGATGATGGGATCCTGAAGTTGAGAAATCAAACCACAGCAGGGTGTGGAAACGATAAAGGGTTGGCAAATATGTGCTCTAGAGAACGGAAGAGAAAGTTCTATTCCCATCTCTTTATATTTGGTGACAGCCTCCTTAATCAGAAGGTTCTTTATGCCCACTTAATCACCGCAGTCAAACCTGGTGGTGAATAGTAGGGGCAGCTTTTACCGGGTATTACCAAGGTGGGTCCCTTAGAGGCCGCATCTCTGAAGAGACACTCCAAGGGTCCTCGTCCCTACACCAAGAGAACTATTAGGAAATGTTCTCCTTAATCGGCAAACCGCAGCACCTACAGATGATGGAACTGTTCAGCGGGTTCTGGATCAGCTACTTGCAAAAAGAAGTTATGTAACTTTTCTGGGCCTTAGTTTCTCCCACTGGAAAATGGAGACATCAGTCAGCTCCTACGACTGCTTAACTGAAAACACGTATGTAAAAACGATTGATTCTTTGTGAGGGGGGCGGGAAGAGTCCCAGGAGTACCGTTCACTTGACCAGAACACCAAGGCAGTGCCAGGCGCTCCAGCACCATCCTCTCTCCTGGAAGTGAGCAGTGGGATGAATCCTCAGTTTCAGGGTCCCTTTGGAGCGGCGAACTTTACCCTCGAAGCCCCTGAAAGAGGACCCCCCCCACACACACACATACACACCGAGGGCACACCTGCCCCACATACAGGCGGGACAGTGCAGCACATTTCTGCCGGGGCGGGCGGCGCGCAGTGGGGCTTTCTGCAGGAGCCCAGGTGAAGCCGCCCCACTGCATAATCTGTTGGGGTTCTAGACCTTCAGCTCTCTCCTTCCAGGGGATCTGAACCAAGTGAAAGCTACTCGGTCATTCGAGGGCTCCCGAGCGCTCCATCCGCAACCTGGGCAGATCCCAAGGGTGCCGCGGGACCACTTGGTACGTGGACCGCCAGCCCGGGCCGCCCCAGGCGCCCGACCCCAGCCTCGGAAATCCCATCCCCACCTCGTCCCCTCCGGGAGCGCGCTTTTCGGGGCCTCGCATTAGTCCTTTTCCTGGCTCTCTGGACCCCCATCTCCCCACCCGGGCAGAGCACCGCCCGCTACGTGCTCCCGCATCCTGGTCCCCACCAAAGGTCTCCCTGCTCCCCTCTCCCAGATTTCAAGGAAGATGCAGAGAAGGAAGCCTAAATAAAAACAGGAAACCCGATTTAAAAAAAGAAGCCTCATTCTGGCTGAATTACGGGTAAGAGTATTAAAAAGAAGGGGGGGGGGGAGTCCGGAAATGCAAAGCTGGAGGCGGTTTTGCCGCCGTAACCCAGGCTCAGCCGCAGATCCGGGGGCTGGTCTCCGCTGGCGGCTGCAGTAAACACGCGGCAAGCGGCTCCCGAGGCCCCGGGGCCCCCAGGCGCGCCGGGCGGGGCCGGAGGGGGGCGCCCGGCAGACTCGACTCCGGCGGCTCCCCAGCCCGGTCCCCGCTCGCCGGCGCCGGGGAGGGCGCGCAGGGCCAGGGCGCAGGGGACGGCACACCGGGCTGCACGGCTCGTGGGAGCGCGGCCGGAGCGCCCGTGGGCCGGCTCGCCAGCGCTCGGGGCAGGGCGCACGCGGCCGAGCGCTGCCGGGCTCCATGCCCCGCCGCTGGGAGCGCAGCCGGACCGCCGCCGCCGCGCCCGTGAACGCCCCGTCGGGCCCCGCAGGGCGCGCGGTAGCCGCGCAGGGGAGCCGTGCGCGCCCAGGTCCCGGCGGCCAGCCCGGGGGGCGCCCCTTGCCGGGCTCTCTCCAGACGCGGGAGGCGCAGCCGGCCGGGGCGCACCGCTTGCGGGCACCGGGAGACGCCCGCGAGCCGGTCCCCGAGGTCCCCGAAGCGCCGGGTCCCGGTGCTCCCCCCGACCTCCCCAGACGCAGCCGGAGGCGAGTGCTTACCGTCCCGGCGCGGCGGGCAGGCGCTGGGCGGCTCGGCCCGGCGGCCGCTAGGAGCGAAGGCTCTGGGCGCGAGTGAGCCTCGAGGGAGGGAGGCGGGGCGCGCTGGGGGCGCCCCGCCTGCTGACAGCCCGCACACTCCACTTCCCACTTTGTTTCCTTTTTACTTGCAACAGGAAAAACAACAGGTCCTCCTGCCGCCAGTCTGCACCCCCCCCGCCCCCGTCCTCTCCACCCCCCAAATCTGCACCCCGTCTGCGGCTGGAAGGGCATCATCCCAGGTGTCTCTGGAAGCTGCATTTTGCCCTTCTTCAAAACAAGTTTTCTTTTTATACAAAGGAAAACAACCAAATAAAGGTCCTAAAGCCCATAAAACTCCCACGCCTTCCACATTCACACACCAAGAATTTCCACAGTGGTTAGAGAAAGGCTGGAGGGCGGGAGAGGGAGGCGGCGGCGGCCGCAGCTCCAGGCACCCGGGGGGTGCCCCCCAGTGCCAAGAGCAACGGGGCTGGGCTCCAGGGACGGTCCAAGAGGCCGGGCAGACAGACTGGAGCAAAGTCCCACTGGCTCAGCCCTGGAGGGAAGACGTGGCCTCCACGCTTGGGGGAGTCAAGAGCAAGGAGGGGGTGTGGGAGTAGCCAGATTACAAGAGTGGCTTCCAATCCTTCTGGGGTGTGATGGCGGAAGAGTCGGTCAGTTGCTTAGACTTAAAGGACCCTCTCCAACAGGGTCTGGGAGGTAAAACACCCGTTTGGTCCCCTTGGAGATAGGAGGAACCTGAAACTTGGGAAGACTCTTTCTACCCATGCAATACCCTGGCCTCCGGGACCAGCGTGGGCCCAGCTCTGGCTGCAGCAAAGGGAGGAGCAGAAACTTCCGTGTCCTGCCAGGAAAGGGGAGAGCACTGAGGCAAGACCCGTTGGGTACTAAACGCTTCCGGTGTTCTAAGATCTAGGCTGCAGGCTCTGAATTCTCAGCTAGACATCTTTGGAGGAGCCAGAAGGGACCATATTGTCCCTTTAGGGAAGAATGTTGGGTCTGTCCCCAGGAACGTACCCTAACATCCTTCCCAACAAAACATCCCAGGCTCACAGCCTCACTCCTACCCCAGGCCCGGCTCACTGGTCCTTGGCAGAGGTCTCCAGCCCACTGCAGGGTGCCAGAAGAGAAATGGGCACATCGGAGAGAAAATCTGATGGCAGGGTAAGCAGCCTGCCCTGAGGTTTCTGAACACCTGCCCCAGCCCAGCTTTTGCTAGTTTGCAGTTTAAACAATTTACTCCCTGGCTTTCAGAGTTTGGTGTAAGAAGCCGGCAGATGAGGAATGTTTTTGCCTCATTCAGAAGAACACTTCACTGAATATTTGCTGACAGCCATTCGCATCATGCTCTGTAACATGCGAGACAGGGACCCAAGGCATGCCAAATGCTCAGATATGCTCCACCTGTTATTATCTCTGATCCCTACAACAATCTCCCAAGGGCAATCTTAGCCCCACTTTACAGATCAGAAAACCAAGGCTCAGGAAAGTTTAATCATTTGGGGGCCAGTCTAACTGCTCCTCTGACCATATCATGCTGCCTATGGCCCAGTTCTAGAAGTTTCACTTTCCTGAAAACCCAGCACATTTCCGTTTTGAGACGGCGCCATAGGATCTCCCTGTGTTGCCCGGGGTGCCAGGAGAAAGAGGCTGACAGTAACACAGGGCTCTGCCATCGCTCTCCCTTGTCTCTCAAGTTCCCGATAGACTCGCCTTCTGCCTTCCTCTCTATGGTTTCTGATCTCTCTTTCTCACTTTATTTTTAACTGTTGTCATGTGTGTTTGGAGGAAGCTACTTCAAGTTCCCTTTGAATTGTAAACAAAATAGACTAGCCATGGTGGAGAATTTATAGCAGTCCTAGAAGAGAAGGAGCATCTTAGCTGCATGGAAGTCAATGCCTCCTGATTCACATGATCTCCTGAAGGGCCAATCCTTCCGCCCCATGTTATGGAAGGGAAGAAAGAGGTCTCGGTTATTAAAGGGGCTGCTGGTCAGTGGAGAAGAGGCTCCGGCCGGCAGAAGGTGCCCTGCAGCCCGGAGGGGCACACACAGCCCTCCAGACCTGTTTCCTTCTGTCCCCTCTCCTGCAAAACTTCCCCTCCAAAAGCCATCCAGCGTGTGCAGCTTCTCGCGGATGCAGTAAGCATCTTTGTTCAGCTTTGAGGGGCTTCAGCACGGACACGCACACATGCCCACAAGCAGGGTTATCTCAGGGCAGCCAGAGCCAACCTCAGAACCTGCACCCAGTGCAGGGGTGCAAGCATGAGAAGCCCACCTCTTCAGCCCCTCCACAAAGGACTCTAGGCACCTGTGTGCCCCGTCCTGGCAGGAAGCCCACTTTGCTGTGGGTCCTTTCCTCCCAAGCAAACATTACCCAGCTCAAACCCTCGCCCTTTTGCCTTGGCCAAGAAACGTGTGGTGAAGCTTCTTGATTAAGAGCACCTTCCCTGGAGCCAAACTCCTCAGCACTGCCTTGCTGTGGAGCTGTGTGACCTCCGGCAAGTGACTTAAAATTGTCTGAGCCTCCACTCCTCATCTGAGAAAACAGGGATGCTGATCATGGCTTTCGGCATTTAGAATTGTTCTTAGAGGGGCGCCTGGGTGGCTCAGTCAGGTTAAGCTGCCTTGGGCTCAGGTCATGATCTCATGACCTTGGGGTCCCAGGACCCGGACGGAGCCCCAAGTCAGGCTCCCAGCTGAGCAGGGAGTTTGCTTCTCCCTCTCCCTCTCCCCCTTCCCTGCTTGTTCTCTCTCTCTCTCTCTCAAATAAATAAAATCTTTTAAAAATTGTTCTTAGAATTACCCGAGGTAATAATACATGGAAACTGCTTCTAACGGTACTGACAGAGCAAACCCCCCGAGAAGGTTAGTTCTTGAGCAATCCTAGAACAGGGTCTCTGTGCTCCATGGGACTGGATGTTTCTGCTCTAAAACAACATTTCCCCACAGCAGGGTGTGACATATGAACACGTTAGTGGACTGGAAACCCGCTCAGCACGTCAAGTTTACAAAAATGGAATAGAATAGAAATGATCAGATTGTATTCCACTTTGGGAGGGAGAATACTATGGCCTGCGGCTTTTGCCCGGTTTATAGGTACGCGTGAGTGTGCATTAAGTCAAGACATAAAATGCATTTCTTACTGCAGGCCCTGGTCCCTGCGATGAGACAGCGGCTGCCTGGGCAACGTCATGGTGATGATGGTGCAAGGGCGTGAGACCTGGAGAACCAGGCCGAGGTCAGAACTGATTCCTGGAAAGTCTGACTTCTGAGGACACAGGCTCAGAGGAGCCCGGAGAGCTGGCCAGGTGCAGGTGCCCGAGGAAAAGAAGACAGGGGTCCTTGCAGCCCCCGTCCCCAGGCTGTGCCCTCCGGAGAAAGACTCAGAGGTGGATGGATCGTGCCCCTGTGCTTCATCCCGGGTCACAGCTGGACTGAACGGTCCAGAAAGACCCAGATAGTTCAGAGGTGGCCCAGGTGAACCAGGCCCTTATGGGGTCAGGTTTGAATTGCTGGAGATTGAGTTTCTGGGCCCAAGTAAATGGAGACTCCAAACAGAAGTTGAGTTGTCCTTTTTGTAAAACACAAACACTCCAAACCCAAGATGCCTGGGTTCCAATCCCAGCCCAAACCCCTACCCGCTGTGCAACCCTGGGGGGATCCCTCCGGCCCTCAGGACCGGGGACTAGGGGGGAGGGTCCTGCCCCTGGCACCAAGTCAGTGTTCCAGAAACAGCTGTTGGCTTTTAAACATACCTTCTAATGCTCTTCCTAGTCCAGGGTGTGGGGGTGTTGGGGAAAGGGGGTGGTGGGGAGCAGCAGGGTTTGGGGTCATGAGGCTGGATCCAAACTCCTGCCTCCATACACTGGGGGTGACCCAGGCTTTGCAACACTGACTCATTCAGCCTGCGTGCCTGCTACAGTTGGGGCCCTGGGATACAGCACCGTCCAAGCCAAAGACCCGCCCTCCCGGGGCTTACACTCCACGAAGAGAAACTATGAAGAATAAAAATAAGATACAGTGTCGTGAAGTAGTAAGCACTGCAAAGACATAGGAGGTGGGGAGGAGGGGAGAGATGGAGGAGGGATAGTGGGGGTCTACAAAAACACCTGACCAGTCCCCCAAACGGTCAAGGTCATCAGAGACAAGGAAAATTAGAGCAACTGTCAGCCAAGAGGAGCCTAAGGAGGACATGACAAGCGAATGTTACGCAGTGTCCTGGCTGGGCTCCTGGAACAGAGAGAGGACAGTAGGTGAAACTAAGGTAGTTGGGATTCAGTTGATAATAACGTATCAATGTTGGTTCATCCCCTGTGACACATGTACTGTAGTAGTTAAGATGTTAGCAATAGAAGAGACAAGGTGTGGGGTATGTGCGAACTCTCTATCCTCTCTGCAACTTCCCTAAAAATCTAAAACTGTTCTAAAATTAAGCATTTATTTCAAGGAAAAATAATAGGGCGCCTGGGTGGCTCAGTCGGTTAAGCGTCTGCCATTGGGCTTAGGTCATGATCCCCGGGTCCTGGGATTGGTGTCGGGCTCCCTGCTCAGCGGGGAGTCTGCTTCTCCCTCTGCCTCTGTCCCTCCTCCACCCCCCACCCCAGCTTCTGCTCTCCCTCAAGCACTCTCTGTCTCTCTCTCTCAAATGAATAAGTAAAAAATCTTTAAAAAAAAAAGAAAAGAAAAGAAAAGAAAAAATAATAGAATGGGGAGGTGTGGGAGGCGGAAAAGGCCAATCAGTCCCTGGGGCTGGGAACAGGGCCTTCCCTTACAAGCCTAGAATACAATGGTTTGGGGGGGGCGGGAGGGGCAGAGTCACAGAAGGGGGGGCTGCAGAAAGTAAGAAGGCGTGGCCTTATTCCCCACCCTTGGAGTCTAATGGAGGGGGGAGTGTATTTTTGCACCTTTTCTGGGGACCCTGAGACCCAGCCCTGCCCCCACATCCTCCTGTCTGTCCCTTCCTCCATAAGATGGCGCTTATTACTCCAGCTTCAGAGAGCCTGTAAAACTAACATATCTTTCAGTGAAAGCGGTTTGGGGACAGTCACAGCTTCGCAAACGGGGCGCAGAAGAGGGAGTGCTAAGGGGAGCTGGGGTTTGCTCCGGTCCTGTGTCCCACCACATTACCACCTGCTCTAAAAACCTCCTTCTATCTAGATAAGTACCCCTCCAGATAGATATCTATCTTTAAAGTCATCGATTCTGAGGAGCACCCCCATGCGAAACCCCAAAAACCTCAATGAGAAGACATATGTCTGGTGACTTTTTCCCCAGACAGGAAAAAGAGAACAAAAGAGCATGAATGTTGAAGAGAGAGAAGAGTTAGAAGAAGAAGGAAAGCCATTTTCTACCTGGAGGGGGCTGGCTGGTGACCTCCGAAAAGGTATGTCCAAGTCCTAATCCCTGGAACCTGGAAACGGGACCTTATTTGGAAATAGGGTCTTTGCAGATATAATTAAGTTAAGGATCTGGAGATGAGGTCATCCTAGATTATCTGGGTGGGCCCTAAATCCAATGGCAAGCGTCCCGATGAGAGGAAGACAGAGGGAAAGTCGAGACAGACAGAGGTGAAGGCCATGTGCATTTGGAGGCAGAGGTTGGTGAGATGTAGCCACGAACCGAGGAGCATCAGGAGCCCCAGAAGCTGGAAGAGGCAAGGAAGAGTTCTCCCTAGAGCCTCTGGAGGGAGTGGCCCTGCTGACACCTTGATTTTGAACTTCTGGCCTCCTGAACTGTGAGAGAATAAATTTCTGGTGTTTTGGATTTTGGTTTTTAAGTCTGTTTATTTTTATTTATATATATATATTTTTTTAGGAATCTCTATACCCAACGTGGGGTGCAAACTCAAGACCCTGAAATCAAGAGTTGCACGCTCTTCCAGCTGAGCCAGCCAGGTGCCCCAAATCTCTGTTTTTTTAAACCACAGGGTTTGTGGTGCTTTGTTATAGCATGTATGGAACCAGTAAACGTGGCCTCGTGGAAAGCATCCGGGCTACACAGCGAATGAAAAAAAGTAGAACTATAGTGAGCTGTCAGCGCGGGCTGTTTTCATGCATTACCCTGTTTCATCCCCCTTGGAACCCTGTGTGGTGCATACTGTTCTTATCCCCATCTTACAAACAAAGAGATTAAGGCAATGCTGCAGGTAACTCGCCGAGGTCACCCAGATGGCAGGTGGGAGTTCATTAGGGGGCAGCCTTCCTAGAACTCTGAAGTCAGGTGACAGGAAGGGTGTGGGGTCTATTGGACCAGCGATCGCAGGAAGCTGGACGGTGAACCAAAAATGGGAAGAAGAAAATGTGTCACCTTAACACTGTGGAGGGTCTGCCTTCTCCCCTTGGCCAGAACTGCCCGGAGGAAAGCATGGTACATTCACTTAATGGAACAGTGTGCAGCCATTGAAAGTGGCCATCCTGGGGCGCCTGGGGATTGATTAAGTGTCCGACTCAGTCGGTTAAGTGTCCGACTCTTGGTTTCGGTTCATGTCATGATCTCATGGGTGGTGTGATTGAGCCCCACGGCGGGCTCCGTGCTCAGCGGGGAGTCTGCTTGAAGATTCTTTCCCTCTGCCCCTCCCCTGATTCATGCGTGTGCTCTTGCTCTCAGATAAATAAATAAATTTAGAAAAGCAAAGAAAAGTGGCAATCCTGGAGACCCGTAGCATCATGGGAAATGGTGACATCATCAAGGGGATCAAGTTCAACGCTGAACTGCCTCTGTGCAGGATCGCCACCGTGTAAGCGTGACGTATGCACACATATGTAGTGGGAGGTGACTGAACTGTGAAAGCCTCGGAGGAGGAGCATTACAGATGTTTTCCCTGCCATTTTTCCTTTCTGTTCACATTATGCCAAATGTGTAATAAAACTGCAAAAACGTGAACTTTATCTCCTTTCCCCAAGTCAGAGCTAACAATCCCTCTTACTGCTGTTCACACCAGAACGACGGATGAGCCGCTGCTCCATTCTGCCTGGGCTCCAGTCAAACTGGGGTAATGACCCCATGGCCTCAGCTCTCAGCAGGAGGGATGAGAAGCCCCTGGAGAAGGACTCCTTTGGGAATACAGGTGGCATCAGGGAAGTCCATCAGTGGATAGTAGGGCCTCAGCCAATGGGAACTACAATGTGGGGAGGTGCTAGATGCCAAGAGCCCGGTGCTCCTGGGGTGTATACCCAGCTCCTTTCTCCAGGAACACTTCTCTGTGCATCTGCGTGGGGATACCTGCAGTCTCCGGTCAGGTATGCCGGCCTTGAAGCATGCCCAAGGTGATGGCCTCAGTGGTGGCCACTTGGCCCCAGGTTGGCCAACCAGTGGCTTCCTCAGGAATGCGGAATTAGAACCAAGAGCGTAGTGATTCTTCAGGTACCCAGGACCCTTGGGTGCTGGGAGCCACTTACGCCTCTCGACAGGACTGAGGAAATCAGAGAAGCTGCCGTGCAGAGACTGAGATTGAAAGAAAACCAGCAAGCAGATGCACAGAGAGGAAGAGAGGATCGCAGGTGAGAGAGACAATTTCGGGCAACTTTTCGGTTCCTTGTCTTGCATCAAGAATGTCCTTGCATTCTTCCCCTTGGGTTCCTCTGAAAGTCCCCTACGCCCTTCTGCCTTACTCCTGTATTCTGCTTAAAATCTGTATCAGTTTCCTAGGACTGCTGTAACAAATTAGCACAATCCAGATGGCTTAAAACAATGGAAATTTATTCCCTTGCAGTTCTAGAGGCCAGAAGTCTGAAATCAAGGTGTTGGCCAGGTTGGTTCCTTCCAGAGGCTCTAGGGAGAATCTGTTCCAGGCCTCTCTCTTATCTTCCAGCACTGCCTGCAATTCTTGGCGTTCAATGGCTCGTAGAAGCATTCTTCTGATCTCTGCCTCCATCTTCACTGGCATTCTCCCTGTGTGTCTGTGTCTTTGTCCAAATTTCCCACTTCTTATAAAGATATCCTAATCCAGGATGACCTCATCTTAACTAATTAGATTTGCAAAGACCCTCTTTCCAGTGAAGGTCCCATTTTGAGGTTCCATGTGAGCATGAATTTTGGAGGGATAATATTCAACCCAGTACAAACTCTCTTGAGTTGGTTTTTGTTTTTTGAAACAACAAACACAACACTCAGAATTAATACAGAAATCAGTATTGGAAGTGCAGCATTGAAAGAAACAGCTTTTCGGGGCGCCTGGGTGTCTCAGTCGTTAAGCGTCTGCCTTTGGCTCAGGTCATGATCCCAGGGTCCTGGGATCCAGCCCCGTATCGGGCTCCCTGCTCCGCGGGGAGCCTTCTTCTCCCTCTCCCACTCCCCCTGCCTGTGTTCCCTCTCTCACTGTGTCTCTCTCTGTGAAATAAATAAATAAAATCTTTTAAAAAAGAAAAAGAAAGAAAGAAAGAAAGAAAGAAAGAAAGAAAGAAAGAAAGAAAGAAAGAAAGAAAGAAAGAAAGAAAGAAAAAGAAAGAAAGAGCTTTTCAAGGAAAGTATTGAAACTAGGTGACCTGGGGCAGAATGAGGGGTGTTGAGGATTCCCTATTCTTGGATGGAACTCCAGCAGCTCTTGCTTTGTGGTAACAGATCAGTTGAACTGTTTTCAGTGGTCTCACGGGACTCAGAACATGGTAGCAAAGGGTCCAGCATATTAGTATATGATTTACTTCTAGCAGCCTTATTGGGGGAAAGCAAGGCAAATATTTATGTGAAGGGAGATCCCATTTTTCCTATAGCCAGTGACAAGCAAGCATCAGATAATCATGCACCTGCTGCACAGCATCAGCCACACTCTCTGCCATGCCCCGTGTCTCAGACAAAACGGAAAAGTCTGTGAGCTTAGCTTTGGAATAGGGATATCTGGGAAGAGCCACAGGAGTGAATAATCCTTAACCTCTGGTCCTTTAGCCTCTCATTGTCAAGTGGCGCGAAGGCAGGTAGGGGTAGTATTCCAAGAGAAATCAGAGAAAAATCTTTTTTTAAAAAAAGCAGGGGGAGTGGGAGAGGAGAAGCAGGCTTCCCGCTGAGCAGGGAGCCCAATGCGGGGCTCGATCCCAGGACCCTGGGATCATGACCTGAGCCGAAAGCAGACGCTTAATGACTGAGCCACCCAGGTGCCCCCTTCTTTTTTTTTTTTTAAGATTTTATTTTTTATTAATTTGACAGAGAGGCACAGCAAGACAGGGAACACAAGCAGGGGGAGTGGGAGAGGGAGAAGCGGCTTCCCGCGTAGCAGGGAGCCCGATGTGGGGCTGGATCCCAAGACTCTGGGATCATGACCTGAGCCGAAGGCAGACGCTTAACGACTGAGACACCCAGGCGCCCCAGAGAAAAAAAGCTTCTTTCCACCCAAGTTAGATGATGATTTCCTCTTCACCTTTAGGCTAAAAGAAGAAACTAGCTGCCCTGCTTGCTGCTGAGACACCCTAACCCTGGGGGATGACCCAGCCTAAGACCAAATATTCAACCAGACAGGATTTCATGGCAATGGTTATTGGTTAATGACAAGACCCAAAAGAAAATTGGCAGCCAGTTAACGATGCTTCTGTGGGGACTGAAACTCCAGGAAACCCTAAAACCTGGCACACTGGGGCTTGTGATGTCTTACCCTCGGCCCAGGTCCCAGCACCAATATGAAGCAGGCTACCAGGGCAGCTGGGTCCCTCCTAGAAAAAGGTTTCCCAAGAACCTTTCAGGGCAGACCTGAAAGACCCCCAGAGAAGGGACCCCTTCCCAGTGAGCAGAACCTGGGACAGCCATGTTTGCCAACAAAGAAGCCAGAGAAGGTAACCAGCAGAGCAAACCCCATGCGGTATGTTGTTCCTGATGTGTAATTTACCTTGCCTGTATGGTGCTTCCCTTTTCTGCTCCATAGATCAAGCATGGAAGGAGAGGTGAAACTGATCACTCGGTCTATAGATTGAGGGGGACCCGGGGGAGCCACCTCAGAGGAGATTCAGTAGAAACAGACGGGGCTGGGTGTCCGCTGGAGACAGAGGCTCTGAGAATGGAGTTCTGGAAGCCGCAGTTTGACCTGACCCGGATTGCCTTACCTTCGGCAGGGGGAGAGATATTTGTGGTGGACTTCGTGATATAAAGATTAAGCGACAGCAACTGGAATGGAGCTATCTGGGGAAAGCCAAAGGAATTAAGCACGTGTTTGGGTGGGGGGCTAGGATAAAACGGAATGGCCTAGAGTGGACGCCACTGGCTTTCAGGCTACTGGGCTGTTCCTCTGGCCCCCTTTCCTGGTAGCCCTTCCTCACGTAGTCATGACAGAAAAGCAGCATATCCACTTGACCACTGGCCATAGCCGATTCCTGCTTCCCAGGGCTTGGGACCTGGACCTAGTTCTCTCTGGGTGAAGGGATCCAGGCCACATCAGCTTGGCAGGTGCGACGCCGGTGGGCAAATGGGGGACAGGCAGGCAGCGCTGAAAAAGTGTCCAAGAGTTCTGGCTCCCCAAAGCCAGGCTGCATCTCTGGGGTCCATGAGAATACCCCATACCTTTGCTAAAAGTCCCCTTTCCTGCCTCAGCTACCAGGGACTGATTGATTGCTCTCTCTCTCCCTCCCTCCCTCCCTCCCTTCCTTCCTGCCCTCTTTTTTAAAAATATTTTTTATTTTGGGGGAGCCTGAGTGGCTCAGCTGTTAAGCGACTGCCTTCGGCTCAGGTCATGATCCCAGAGTCTTGGGATCCAGCCCCACATCGGGCTCCCTGCTACGCGGGAAGCCGCTTCTCCCTCTCCCACTCCCCCTGCTTGTGTTCCCTCTCTCTCTGTGTCTCTCTGTCAATAAATAAATAAAATCTTAAAAAAAAAAAAAAAAGATTTTTTATTTTTAAGTAATCTCTACACCCAATGTAGGGCTCGAACTCACAACCCTGAGATTAAGAGTTGCCCGCTCTACTGATTGAGCCAGCCAGGTGCCCCTACCAGGGACTGATTCTGACCCTTAAAGCCACTTATTGGCTGGGACAGCGACCTGCACTGGGGTATGGGGTCAGCTGTGGCTGGAGAACAAGCTCGAGGCATCTAATAATCAAGGGAGGCAACCCAGCCAGCCCCCTGGGGTTCCTCCCACCACTTCTCCCACCTCACCCTTTGTGCTGCACCTTGGGCTGTTTCTTTTTTTTTTTTTTTTAAGATTTTATTTATTTATTTGACAGAGAGAGACACAGCGAGAGAGGGAACACAAGCAGGGGGAGTGGGGGAGGGAGAAGCAGGCTTCCCGCTGAGCAGGGAGCCCGATGCGGGACTCGATCCCAGGATCCTGGGATCATGACCTGAGCCGAAGGCAGACGCTCAACGACTGAGCCACCCAGGCGCCCCCTTGGGCTGTTTCTTGCAGCTCCAGACCTCCCCAGGCTCTCTGACTCTGGGCCTTTGCTCATGCTGTTCCCTTTGCCTGGAGTACCCTTCCCAAACTCTTTGTTTTACCCTACCCCTTCTCATTTGCCTGGCCAGTTCACACAGATACTACCCACTGAGCCCCCTTGTCTAGAAGGGTCTTTATTCCAGGCTGGGTCTGCTCAAGTGTGACAGCCTGGGTGCTCAGAGGCTCCTGGGAGCGGGGCCTCCGCGCGGATCCAGGCTGGTATCCGGGCCCCGAGCTCTGTGTTGGGCACGCAGAGTGTTACAAGCTGAGTGTGTGGGAATGTGGGACCAACGAATGAATGAATGACCCAGTCATGGCTGGACAGTGGAAGGGTCTTTGCCCAGTGGAAGGGTCAGGGGTCTGTAGCCAGGGGAGAGCAAGGACAAAGGTCCTGGTCCTGCCAGTGTGGGAGCAGCGCCCTCATTTCCTCCCAGCGGGAGCTCAGCACCCAGTGACCGGGGAGCCTCAGGGAGCCCAGCCTCACCTTTCAGAGTAGCCCCTCCACCCCTCATTCCTTCAGAGGTGTGGCTTCAGCTTGGGTCCGTCCATTCCCAGGTCCCGCCCCCATGTCTAGAAAAACCACCGCTTTCCGATGGAGGATGGGCACGAGGCCCCCTCTGCTCCTCCCATCAGGCAGCCCCCCCGGCTTGCCACCCCCACCCCCAGCCTCCCAACCTCCACTGCTGAATCTGCTCTAAGCTGGAGACCACAGGGTCCAAAACGTGGCAGCTGGATGGCAGAGCACGTCAGGCCAGTGCTCTCCCCGGCTTCCTGATGCCGCCCTGGGATCCTCTGACCCCCAGGGTTCCTTCCCAGGCGGGCCTCTGCCTTCACCTCGCCACCCCCCACCCCCCAGCCTGCTCTGATGAAAGCAATGGTGCAAAACTCGTTGGGGAGAAAAACAGGAAGTGGAGCCTGAGAGCAAGCCTGCAGCAGCTACCCAGAGAATGTGGCAGCCCCCTTCCACCCGCAGCCTTACAGGAAAGTGGCGATGGGGCAGCCCCGGCCCGAACTGGAAGGGGGGCACTGTGGGGGGGGGGCGGATGGCAGAGTCCAGCAAAGACCCTTCCTTCGGCTGTATTTTTAGGGGCCTTGTTTTTAGGCCAAACATTACATCTGTGTTCTGCATTTTACATCTTCTCTCACCTGTTCCCAGCAGCTCCTCAAGGTTAATACAACCCCCCTAGCTTACAGATGAGCAAATAGACTCAGAGAAGTTAAGTGACTTGGCCAAGGCCACACAGCATTTCCCACGGCCGGGTCATGGCTCCTTGATTCTTTCTCAGACTTCGATTTCTATTTGTGGCGTGTTTTTGTTCTGGGCCTGTGAGCGGACAGGGGGGTCGGGGGAGGGCAGAAGGGGGGAGCACTGTTTCTGGCTCCTTCATCTCAGCACGTCTAAGCTGGTGGTAAGAAAAGGCTTCTGAGGGCTCATCCCCTGAGATTCAGTTTCCTGCAATGTGTGAGCTGGAAGGCCCAAGTGCCCTGGTCCCTTTGTTAGAGAGGGGGTGGGGGTGCCCTGGAGGGGAAGTCAGCCAACTGACAGTCATGGGGGAGGGATCGACCCCCAGTAAAATCAAGTGTTGATAACCTCAGCTGGCTCACAGCCCAAAGGACTCAGAAATTCTGGTGAGTCCAGAACCCTCTTTCCCTTTCAGGCCTGGGACTCAGGGTAGCCCCAATCCTATAGTTTCGGGCCCGAGAGGCAGCATCAGAATGAGAGCCCAAGGAGAAGAGGGG